TTTACTTATTATGAAAAAAAAAAAAAAAAGAAATAAATTGTAATTAAACCTAGTTGTATAAGAAAATTTAATATTATAGAATAATACGTACCAATAATAATATGAAATAGTTTATTGTTGTTCGAAAATGTTGAATAGGCAAAATAAGTATTATTAAATAACACACCGAAAACTATTGATGTGATTTGGTTAGTTAAAACCAAACTAATGACGTACTGGTAAAGTATCGCAAATCGGGATCAATGCCACAGTTCGAATGCTTTATAAACAATTCAATGTAATAATTAACATTCCTAAAAAAGAACAAAACAATAACATTATGAAGGTTAGTGTAATAAAATTGTATTATTTAATATAATTAATAATTTGATTAGAGTTATTAATTTTTTTATGTATTTTATTTGTTCAAAATAAATAATTTAATCGATCAATTTTTATAATTAAAATTTAATTCGACATTTAATTTTTGGTGTAATACAAATGTATGAAGTAATTTTTATTGAGAAAAATGTCAAAAAATAAGTAATGTTCAAAAGTCGAATTCTTTCAAGGTTAATTGGTTTTTGGAGATGTAAAATTTTACAAATAATAGACAAATATTATATGTATCTCGAATATGTTAGATTTTCAAAACCCTACTGTAGCAATCACATTAAGTTGTTTTGTATGTGCATGAGGATTCTATACGACATGGTGTTTTGGACTGTATGGGTTATTTAGAAAAGATTCAGCGAGAATAAGTAATTTCACTCGGAGCAATAATATTTAAATTTATAGTTAAAATTAAACCGGGAATCATAATAATAATTCATATCTTTTAGTATTTTGATATTGTTTTATGTATATACATATAAATAGATTGCTGAATTTTATCCTATACCAGAATCCACTTAAATTCCAAAAGCTGATGTCAAGTCTCTTCCCAACTGTAATAATAACACTCAGAGCAGTGATGGAAAATCTCATCCATAGAATAATACCTATAATAACGTAAACATTATTGTGTTATATGAAATATTTTTAAACAAATATCGTGTTTATTGTGTACGGAATAAGGGTAACGTTTTAAAAATACTGTAATTTTAACCACATCTACGGTTCTATTTTAGTGCGTATTACACGTGTACTCAGACACACGTATATACGTTGTCGTACGCGCACGGTACTTCCGTGAACGCATACGACAGTAATCACAAAACGGACTCCGAAATCTTCAGTAATTTCAAATCCAAGGGGATATGACGTCAATGCGTGCTGTGGTGTTCCAACATCAATTACCTAATCTAGATCCCGATTCCCGATGGCTTAAAGACCATAGGTTTCACTACGCCTGGATACCAAAAGACCACAGGTTGCCGAGCATAGGATCGATCTAACTCTCCAATAAGAATACATCGGTGTATATGGTCCAGAAATTACTATACAGTATAGAGGCACCGGAGCAAAGGGGCAAACAAATAATTTTAACCCCCCCTCCCTTAACCTAACCCCCACAGTAAAATATAGATAACATTTTATGAATAACAAAAACAAACATTTAAATAAATATCTGGTGTAAGAGTTCACACTATCTTGTGTAGAATTTAACATTTCCGATTATAAAGATACACCGTGCGAATAAAAAAAACCAACCCGTACCATTACATCAGTTTGTTTTCACGTTAACATAATGGAATTACGTATTGTTATAAAATAAAATGTAATGCCGGGTTATTTACACGTATACGGTATACTACGGTAGATACGTTTTTATCCACACACGGCGAATATCGTGTGAAGTTAACCGGCTGTGGACCCGGATTTTTCTCGGCGTCGTTTAGCAATATCGCGAACTCCACAAAGAACCTATTACTCGCGTAGTGTACGTCACTTTAAATATAAACTAAGACTAATAGTTTCCCGTTGAACGTTATTTTCAAAAAATATCGCACGAAAAACTGGGTAAATAAATTAGGTCGCCAAAACTCAAAAACGTAGACCGCAGCTTGGGAATATTCGCCAGAAAAAAAATAAGCACTTGCACTGCGCGTCGTTGGTTTTATACCTATTCGAATTACTTTAATAAAAAAAAAAAAACATGTTAGGTGTCGTTCTAAAATCGAATAGTTCTCGTTTTTTCAAAGTCGAATACCAGCTATTGCATAGCAGTGATATCGAAAAACCGAAATCGCCACATTTATACAGTCGGCGTTCGCTGGCTCCGTTTTTCTAGTAACCATTATGTCGACAATGGTGTTCACGTAAAAACAAACGGATCGGCTTTAAAATCGATTATGAAAAAAAAAAAAAAACACGTTAAAATAATCCCGCGTTTCCTACGTTAATCCCCGACTACTATGGAAATTGCATAGAAAATCAAGAAATTACCACCTCGGTGCACCGGATAGATGGGTCCGAAATACAACGAGAAAGGTGTCTAGTTGTTTTTTGACTGGGACAAGATTAAGAAAAGTTGTTGACGCGCGTAAAAAGTCAACAGGTTATTAAAAAAATGTTACGTTACGTAAACGCAGTAAAGGAAATGTATTTTATTTTATGTAACGTTTCACCACCATATGCCATCGCGAGATGTTCAAAACGCATTTGTTCAGACATAATTACAATACAATATGAGACATTAATAATAATTTTTGACATTTTCGTCACACGTAGCAGAGTATACCCAATAGGGTTACGGCGAATTGGGTGCGTAAAACACAAAACGGCCGGCTGTCACTTGGCGAACATCATCACCGTGACTGCGCGCGCTTGTAATAACATTATACGAATATCTCGTCATGAAAAAAAGTTACAAAGTTTATACGGGTTTACGACCGCGGGCATAACGAGCGAAAAAGTTTAAAGTCAAAGTGTTTTGAGTTTAAGACGTAATTTTAACATTTAGCTCTTGTCTTGGTTTTTTTTTTTTTTTTTTTTTAAACAACTTATTTTCTCACATGAATAAAAAAAAAAAAAAACATTAAATATTTAGTCGATTTCGAATTATACCGGATTAAATTAGTTTTCAATGTTACCGCATTAAGGCGTATTAAACGTGCAAACTATAGGTTATAACACACATACAGTGAAATTCGCTTATAACGATCAGATTCCCTAGGTCCCTAGAAGATCGTTATAACCGAACTTCGTTACATCCGGATCATAAAAAGTAACATGATTTTTTTTGAAAAATTGATTTATTAAACATATTTTTGTCAAAACGGCAACTAAACGACTAAGAAACGTAGACATTCTGTATACAATACGGTCGTACAAGACACATTATCTGTTACAGACGAGATTAAGAATTACCGATTTGGACGAAATCAAATTTACTAAACAATGTACAATGTACACGGATATTATTAATCGCTATGGGTGATTATAAAAACCAATTTTCGTTTTAAAATAACATCGCTATATCCGGATTATCGTTATATACGAATAAAAGTATTATACACAACATATAAAACCAACCAAATACATTGATTGGAATCGTTTTACCCGGAATATCGTTATACGCGAATTTGACTGTATAAACACGCGATTTAAATTTTAAAATATAGGCGTACCGCCGTATAAATGATAACAATTGTTTGTTCGCGCGACGAGCGACTAGTGTGGAATTCCGAGTCTTTAAATAATTGTTTGATATGGTAAAATTTTATTTGGATTTTCCCGAGGAATAAATCAATTTCGTTTACCGTCGGCGGCAAGGTCGATTATGGTTTTCGGGGGAAAAAAAAAACAAAAAAAAATCGATAAAATTCTTCTGGGTTCAACCGTTTTCTTCACTGTAACCGTACGGCAATAACGAAATAACGTTATTCGAGTTGGTAAGTCGATCGTTTATCGTTAACCGTAATTCATTAGCCAGTTTAATAAAACGGTCGACTCTTGACGCGTGTCGGCGGAGATCATTTTTTTCTTTCCCCCTCTCACTTTCCTCGTTCGAGACCCAACCGACAGTGCCCCGCGCCCCCGGGCAGCGGGAGGGGGCGGCAAGTCGCGTATCCCGAATATCGCCTCATCTACGAACAACCGTCATTAACAATATTTGTCCGAGTCACACGCGAATCGCGACCCGCGCGGTTTTACCCGGGACGCGGGTCGTTACCGACGAAAATCGAGATGGTGCCGATTACGCGTGGCCAATGAAAACGTCAATCGACAGGGTATTTTGTGTCGCGCCCGGGTGTAGGTGCTCCCCACACTCGTTTCGTGTCCGGTGCGCGAAATACGCATTCGATTCGGTCGGTTTAACGTTGCGCGGGCACGAATTCAGATTTCTAACGAGACCGCGGGGGTTTGGAAAAACCGTACGGTAAAACATAGCCGAAGTTTTCTGAAGACGCGGACGAAAAGAAAACAATTGTTGACGACACGTTTTGCAGCGCTGCGCGGGCATCTGTTTTTGGACTTGTCCAGAAACCCGTTTGTTGCGCGGGCACACACCCGGGCGGGACGGCTCGGCACCGTTGATTCACATGTAAACCGCCGATCGTATTGTAATCAATACGGGGCCGAACGGTTTGTCGGCAGGTCGGCGCGGCACGGGATTACACACGGGCACGCGAAGCGGCGAAACGCACACGCGCTGTTACGCGACGTCTGGTTAACATTTTGGAAATCAATCGTAACGCGGTCGCTTTTCGGTCCATTCCGGTACGGTCCGCGTTTAAAGGTCCCGGGTTCCGTTCGATTCGCGTCCGTTCACTAGTTCTGCAGTCGCGCGCGCGCGTCCAAATGTCATACGCCGGGCGGCTACGCTTCCCTAGCCGTCTTGTGCGCGATTTTTCGTCAGTTCGATGCAATTCGATTTCTAAACGGGCTTCAAAAGTCGGACGCCCCTGCCCCGATTTACCGCGCCGTGTGCAGACCACTAATCACCGTGGGGCAAAATTTTTTTTCAGTCGACTCCGTCGGTGCATTTAAGAGCGCGTTTTTGCTTGTAACCGCCTGAACAATGAGGTTTCCGCAGTTTGGGAGTCACTGGGTTCTCTTATCGAATATTGATAGCGATTGATAAATGCTTGTTTTTAATGATAACTATTATTATTCCGTACGATAATTTTCGGATCTATGATAATAGTTGTGTTTGTTTTTTTTTTTTTCATGTAAACCGAGTGTAATTTTCGTACAAATTAATATAATATCATAATAAGTAGGTGTGAATAAAATTAAATTGTTCAATTTTATTTAAATAACTATGAGCCTAAAGTTGTAAACATTATATTTCTCTGTTTAGATAAGTTGAATGAATTCAGTTGACTGATTTTTTAAAAACAGTTTTATTATTATGCCACCCAAAAAGAACTCAAACGCTAAGGGTCCTAAAACCAGTTCAAAAGCCGACGACGAAGGCAAAGGGAAAGAAAAAAAAGGAGGTTCGGCCGTAAAAGTGAGCTTAAAATTAGACAACACTTAGTAACTGAATACGATCTACACATAATGCTATTGTAGGTTTAATTTTGATAAACCGACTAATGCAACAGAAATTATAAATATAATAGATAAATACTGGGTATGCTATAAGATTTCAAAAAAATGAAGTTAAAATACCGATATCCAAAAGTATTTGGTTCTGGTATGTATTATTGCCTAATTTATAGATAATTTGCTTTGACTCAATATTAATTATAATATTTAACTGATAGAGTCTAAAAGAGAGTCTGATCCTAATAAAATTGTACATTTTGTTGCATAATTTTTGTTTTGTTTTGATAACAATTTACATATGATAAAACTGTTTGTTATTTTAAGATACAATTAAGACTCATTGGAAATGATAATACTATAATATTATAAAGCAATTGTTTTGATATTCTGAAATAGCCTACTCGTCTAGACTTGATTACTGTAACGTATCAAATAATTAATTTTGATTGTATTGTGGCCAGCATCTGTCTCTAAAGAAAAATATATTTATCATTGCACTACTTACATGTACAAAATGTTGTTTAGGTCAGACACATTCTGTGTGAAAAACAGTCGAAAGTTTTAGAAGCCTTAGAAAAAATCAAAGCTGGTGCAAAATTCAATGAAATTGCTGCACTGTATAGTGAAGACAAAGCCAGATCAGGTGTAAGTTATTGTAAATTAATATTATTCGTTTTTTTTTATATGTAGGTATATGCAAGATGTGCAAGTTATGTCTATGTTTATAGTAAGTTAAGTCCGGATTTATATTCTCTCCAAATAATATGATGTTTATATTATCCTACGAAATGCATACATATTTGTACATGAATTATAATATATTTTCTAAACATCAACATTATGCACTAATAAACAAAAAAATTTGTTTTTTAATTCACGGCACTCTAAATTATGGACGTATCTTACTCTAGTAGTTGTGCATACATCCTATAAAAACATGTGTTTATATTTAAATCAGGATTCTAATAAATGATATAAGGATTTTAAAATGTGTTTTATTTCTATATCATTTTATTAATAATTAATGGAATTAAAAACAAATAATTTAAACTAGTATATTTTTAGTAGAATGTTCAGATTAACACCACGTCTCATAAGCTATAGTACTAAATGAAAATTTCCAAAAAAAACAATTTGCATATTTTTACAATTTTTACTTTTTCTTGAAAATCCTTTGAATTGGTTCCTAAACAAATAGCTTCTGTTAGATCTACTACACAGAAGTTTTTATATTCTCTTTCATATTTTTATGAACTATTAAGACTCTGTTAATGTGCAAATACTCCATTATTGTGTTTAATGTCAGGAAAGTATTAATATAAATTGTATTTTTAATAATAATAATATTTTATTATGGTCGTTAAAATTTAATGTTTTAATAATTTAATAACTACTTTACTTATTTTAATAATTTCAGGGAGATTTAGGCTGGATGATTCGTGGTTCTATGGTTGGTCCATTTCAAGATGCTGCATTTGCATTGCCAGTGTCTAGTTTGGGCAATCCCGTTTACACAGACCCACCTGTAAAAACAAAATTTGGCTATCACATTATAATGATTGAAGGGAAAAAGTGATTTTTTTGTTATTTATGTATATTTAAATGTCAATCAATTACATTAATTACAAATAATTGTTTTTAAATGAAAAATAAAAATGTCTTTAATAGTTGTATAACTAAGTCAGTTACCGATTTACTGGTACTGTCATTTTTATATCAATATTTTGTATTATATCTATAACTCATTTTTATTTTCTTTAAATATATTTTCCTTAGTGTTTTGCCTTGTGCATGATTAAATTTATCTTTGTGAAGTTAACAGTTGTCCTTCTATGCCTTTGCTTTTATTCCACAAAAACTATCCTTTTTTTTCTTCTGTGAATTCCTAGTATTTTATTATTTTTGTACTCAATACTCTTGATTTTAGTTATTCAAATGAAGCAGTAGATGTACTAATTTTACAATGATGTGTAGAGGTGGGATTTATATTCTCTTAAAATACTTAAAATGTTTTTAATAAAATAATATAAATTTCAATTTTAAATGAATAACAACAAATATTTTGCTAAATTATTTAAAAAACTACAAGCGAAACCGAAAGAAAACTATTATTCACCAACTAGATTAAAAATGCAACAATAATCTCTTGTCATTTTTATCAGACCGTTATTTCTAATAAAAAAATTTTAAATAATGAAATTGTAATGTCGTAAATTTGTCAATTTCAATTAACGTTTTTTTTTCATTTTTTTGAGTTTTTCTGAATTATGAAAACTACATTAAAAAAAAATCAAATAACGATTTTCTTTGTGAGCAACTAGATCTAAAATGCAACAAATAAATCGCTTGGTGTTTTTCATTGGACCAATATTTCTGGTAAAAAACCTAAGCTGTAAAAATGTTTAATAAAGCAATCGTGTCGCAGTAAATTTATCATTTTTCATACTTGATTTTTTCCGGTTTTGCCCATGCTTTTGAAAACCCCATTGGAAAATCTAAAAATTACCTCTTTAAAGTACCAAATAAATTGGATTTCCTTTAAGAAAAATGCTGCATTTAATTTTTGCTAGAAAAATTGCTCACAGACACACAAAAACGAAACGCGCCATAGTGAAATCAATAGATCCCTCATCACTACGCTCCAAATCAAAAAGAAAAAAAAAAACCCATAACAAATCGTTTCGATTCATTACATGAAAATAGTCCCTGAATTTTTTCTTTATGAAAATCAGCTTTTGCGACACATTCTTTACTTCTATTTTCAGAGAAGTTATGTCAGTCTGGTTGCAATATGCTATGGATTCTGGAGCCTTATTACGTGTAGGTAGGAAGATACCCGTTGTTTTCCATCGAATTGCTGTTTTTGATCGATCAGTTTTGTTATTCCCGAAAATAAAAAAAAAAAAAAAAAAAAANATATATATATATGTATACGGTTTGATCCGAAGTTTTTTTCGTTGCCGTTAATACAGTAATCATAATTAATGATAATTGCGACAACGGTAAACTGCGGCGTGATAAACAGACTAATATTAACTATACTTACTCGGAAATATGTGAATTGAAAATTGATCGTTTAGCCTGGGTAATGGGTACGGCTTATACAATTCTAATACATAATTCTCACGTGCATTGGGGCCTGATAATTCGGCTGGCGTCGTGCATGGTTGGCGAAATCATACACTGACACGCCGCCGGAAGAATGTCGTCCGCACACAATATCGAAAATGTGTCCATTACGGCGAAGTGTCGAACGCACCGCGCATGGCGGATTGGGAACTTTTACACTATGAATATAGTTAAATTTGTAAAAATTAAAAACTATTCAATTAAAACGATATAAAAAAAAAAAAAGTAAAATATATACAACCTGTTTGACGTTATAATTAACGAATATAAAAAGAAAGTCGCGCTTCTTACGAGTACCTGCATAGTAATTTAAATTCCCGTTTTATTTTAAGTTTTTTTTTTTTCTCTCGCTTTTTACAAGTAACTTGATTAATGGGCCCGGGTTAGAGTTCGCGTATAGGTAGGTAAATTTGGAATAAAATACTATGTACTTGTATGCGAAAAATGCAAAATGCATTATACTCGCGTAGTCGAGTAGGTATAAGAATGATGTCGATTGCCGCGGGAAAAAGGTCGGGTTAGAACTAATGTCGTTTGGAAACTGTAATGACGGCGACTAATGCGGTAGTCAGTCCGACCGATTAAATATTGAATACCGAGTACCCGGGTATTTCGTTTTAATTTAAAAACCCATGCTATAATTGGTCAAAAAAAAATTAAATTAAATTATGTAATTTTATATACGCATGTGTTGGCGTTATCTAAAACCGTTTTATATTTAAAATAACGTTTTATAAAACGGGAGGGGTTTTTCTCTTACGTGGTTGGCATTTATTTGATTTTTTTTTTTTTTTATCGCTGTAAGTTTCGAAAATTGTTTTTACACATACGAGAACACTGTGAATAATTTTGTCAAAAATCACGTCGCTTTTATTTAGCAATTTTATTATAAAAATAATATCGTCAGTGTTGGAACGTTGAGTGTGATCGGTTAATTTTGTCTAATGTTGCTTTTAATGAAATATTTGATTTAGTAATTCCTGTCAGCTGTTAAAAAATTAATTATACAAACATTGATTTATGAGATCGGTTTATTGAACTAAAAAACCGACCGTTATTAGGTTTTTCAAGTATTTAATTGTAACTGTTAAATATTTTTATGTCATTCGATTTTTGTTGTTTGAAAACTAAAATAGACAATAACTTAAAACACGAAATATTTATAAACTAAAATCTTTTATTGTACCTAAATTGTTGATGTGTATATTTAAATTATATATGACGCTCAACTAACTTTAAAATGTACTGATTTATCATTATGTACAATCCGTAAAAATACAATTGTTATTGTTAGAGATCGGATTTATGTTCTCTTAAAATCCTTAAAATGTGATGTTTTTTTATGTCGTTTAAAATGGTCAATATATTCTCTTAATATTCTTTTAAAATACCAGCTATATGATGTTTTATGTCCTTAAAATGACAAAATATTCTTTTAATATTGTGATAAAAAAAAAAAAAAAAACAATAATTTAATATGAGTTTTCAGCTTAAATAAAATGTTATTATTAATTTCATTTATTTTGTAATCATAACAGCTCGTGACAGACCTAACGTTATTATGTTATTTACGACGTGCTGTCGCCATCGTTCAAAAATATCTACTGATTAATTTTGATTAGAAACCCAGAAGAATATAAACATAATTCACTTGTAAAATAAATTATATTTGTTGATTAATATTATCAAAACAAAGATGTACGTTCATACAAATAATTGAATCAAACCCAAAATATTCTCAAAATTTCAAATATTCATTAACGTATTGAAGAATATTCTCCAAACCCTAAAATATAATTTTGTTATGCAAAATAAATTTTTCCCTCTGAATTCTATGTTTCATGAATCCTGAAGATTTCTTACTCCCATTTAACTGCATACACTTGAAACAAATATGTAAAATCATAAAAATACGACCTCTAATGATGTTTATTTATTTTTGTTTTTAAATTGTTTAGATACTGAGTGGAGTAAGGAATGTATTGGTTTTACAATGATCTGTGAATAACTTTTCTACCAATGTTGCTCCAATATTTAATTGTAGCACTTTTTCTGAAAGAAAATCTAACTGAAGTGATACTAAAGTACCACTTAAAAAGCGATAATTTTTTAACTTGAATAATACTTCATTATTATAATTGATAATAATACTTACTATAAATACTTTATTGACCATTGTGGTATAAGGAATCGTTCTCTTATGGTGACTGTTAAAATCAGGTACGGATCCAGAGCAAATATCTGGGGGAGCAACAATTTTTTTACAACACAAATACAATTAAATGTTTAAACATAATATAATACATTATGTCGTACCTAGCACATTTGAACAATCCTTAGGCAACCATCAGCCAATAATTGAGATAACGGAAAAGTAGGTACCACTTTTTAAGTTTACCTCTCACAACATCCCAATAAAGTTCACTTAACTATTTTTTGAAGATTCCTATTAGGTATTTATCTAGTGCCTACTTATTTTACATGTAACACACATTTTAAAAAAAAATTGATCACCAAACTAACATTTTATTTTTTAATATTTTGGATATTTTTGTTTAGTTTACATCACAGACTAATCTTAAACTATGATTTACATACATTTTTCCACACAATTTAATATGAAAAATGGCACAAGTAAATAAATAAATATAGCAATAAAAAATTAGAAACAGAAAGAGAACCCAACTCCATGAAAATTAATTTACAAATTTTCAGTAAAAATGTAGCTGTAAGAATTAAGAAGAAATGTAAAAGTATCCAATTAGTTATTTAATTATTTAAATATCAATTTGTTTTTTTCTTCATACATCTCAAGTTATGGAAAACTTATCATAATAATTATAATAGGAAAATACATTCCTTACATTGTTAAAAATTTAAATGTATATTTTATCTAAAATAGTATTTTAATTAAACTATATCACTCTTATTATCATATTTTTTAATTTTCCATATCTTATGAAATAAATAAATTATAAGTGACTTTCTACTCCATTTCATAATATTCAATAAGGCACTAAGAAAATCTGATTATATATTAAACTCAAGATGTATTATCTTCAAAGGAGAATAGATTACTCAAGTTGTAAGTACTAGTAAGGATATGTGGTTTTAAGAAAAAAAAAAAAGTGCATTAATAAAATAGACTTTTATTAAAAATTAATATTTAAAATTAAGCCGAAAGAGTTTGTCATATATTTTATTTATCATAAGTCTATACAGTTTTTTGCAACCGTTTTGGTTTATTTTTCTTCTTTGATTTGTTTTTTTTCTGAAACAAAATATTGCATACATTTGAATATTTATAAGAATCTCAAAACAATTTTTTATGAAAAATATAGTTTGCTAATTAGAAATAAATAAAGGAAAGTAGATACTCTTATCTGTGTATACTATATGCGTATATTTACCTTTTGTAGACGTTTGGCAATTTGTATAATATCTTTTGATTGATTGTGGAATTTTGAAAAGTCAGTGTTTTGATAGTTGTGTGGCTTAAAATTGCTATTTTTCATTTGGTTGGTTTGTTGAATTTTGTTTGATGGGTTTTGTTTACTTGAACTCTGCTGAGGAGCATCTACTTTTTTCACTTTAACTTCTGGGATATCTTTTTTTACTTTAACTTCTGTGATATTTTTTTTTACTTTAACTTCTGGAATATCTTTTTTTACTTTAACTTCGGTGATATTTTTTTTTACTTTAACTTCTGGAATATCTTTTTTTACTTTAACTTCTGGGATATCTTTTTTTACTTTAACTTCTGGGATATTTTTTTTTACTTTAACTTCTGGGATATCTTCTTTTACTTTAACTTCCGGGATTTCTTTTGTTTCAATTGTTAGGTCCACTGTTTCCATTTGTGTTTCATTTTTCTAGAGGAACAGATTAAAAAGTTTTCAATAATTCAATATATTATGTAATTAATTTAACATGAAAACAGTCAACTAGTGAAATAACAAATTTTAAGGGACTGAGAAAAAAGTTCAATATAGTGAAAGTTCATAACATCAAAATCTGTTATTTCAGGAATGTGAACTAACAAAATTTGTTTTAACAAGGTTTAAAATTTAAACCAACACACTACAAATACATATTTATTTTCATTTAATAATATTTACATACATATAAATATATACATAGTAAAATCGCAATATGTACAAAATTTGACTTGTTTCCAAGTGAGCCATCGCCTTTGGTTTTTGACACAACAACGAAACTAAATGATAATGTGTCAAAAACCAACAAACAAAAAAATTAAAACCAAGTTAATTAATGTCTGTTTTACCAATGAAGCACCAAACTATTCTTAAATCAATGAAGAATATCAATTAAGGACATGAAAAATCAGAAAAATAGGCATTTATTACATTTTATTAGTTTTATTTCATTAGTTTGTAATTAAATAAATAATCAAATGCAAAACATACTTGTGGTATTAAAAACAGTATGTCTGAACATGACATCGGAACACTAGGAACTGAAATTTGTGGATTATTGTCAATTTTAATTTTTTCTTCTTGAGATTTCTTAAGAACATTTTTATATTTAATTGTTTTCAAATACAATTCATATGGTTGTTTATAAATAATTTTTGTTAGACCAATACACTTTCTAGATTTTTTGGTCACTTCCTATATTGAATAAATTATATAACAATACATATTAATAAATAAAATAAAACAAATTAAGGTTTCTACTTATATTTAAACTTTTTAAACACGCACTTTAAATATTGTGATTTCCTGTGGTTTTATATAAACACTTTTATATTCTTCGTTAACTGATTTATTTAAATCATTTAACAATGTAGGCAGTTCATTTTCATTTTTTAATTTAGAATAATCATGTAAACTAATCAAGTCTACATCTATATGTTTGACTTCTTGTGTAAAACTATTTTCTTCATACAATTTGTCCGACTAAAACAAAAATTATAATTTCACAAACCACAGTTGAAATTTAATACAAAATTACAAATATAGCTAACATTTTCAAATGTTTGTTCCCTTGCAGTCTTAATAATACGATGGATTTCATGTAGACATTGTCGTACTAGCGGTGGGATTGGTGCACAACAAGCCAATATGCCGGAAGATTCTTTTGGTAGCATTTCTGATATCTTAATCAGCATGTGGTTTGGAAGAATGTATCTACCATTTAAAATACATAATAGAAGTTTAACAAACGATCATTTAATAAATGATGTAATTTTTTAAATTTTACCCAATACTCTCATCTAATTCCCGTGCTAATTTATCTCTCCAAATGTATAAATGTTGGAGTGCATACATTTGTTGAATATCAAACATCTTTTTACTTCGTTTGTACATTTTTAAATGATTACTATCTTGTAAAGAATTCACTTCGTACCTCTAAAATTTAATTTTAAATTAAATACAAGAACTACAATAGCTAATATTAATAGTACACTATATATTATAAATAAAATAATCTATTTACAATTTTACACAGATCAGTGCTTCGTTGAAATACTAATTCAATAAAGTTGCACTGTTTTGTAGACATTGCCATAAGGTCTTTTTTTATCATGTCATATATATAAAGTAAATAGTGTGTATCACATCGAGCATAATATATAGCTTCACTTGATAATGGTCTGAAAAAAATAAAATAACAATAATCAATTCTCTAAAAAATGTTAACTTTTAGGTTTTCAAAAATGAATTTCTAAAGTAGACAAATTTAGCATATTTATATAACATTAAAAAAAAATACTAAATAAATGTAGAAAAAAATAATAAATAGAATAAATTTATAAATTAATTATACCTTGTTCTCCAATCATACAATTGAAATGATTTATCAGCATCTAAATTACAATAATGTTTCAATAAGAACTCTAATGATTTTCTAGAGAAGTTCAATATGATGGCAGCTTGATGTGTATCAAACATATTAACAACATAAAGACCCAAATCTCTTTGCAACCAAAGGATATCACTATCTGCACCATGGAATACCTAAATAAAATCACTCATATGACAAAATAGTAACTAATTGTTTAGTTATAATATTTACTTTGACTACAGCAGAATCGGTGAATATTTCATTAAGCACTTGCATTTTATCTCGTAATTCTAATGTATCTATAATATAATCTGCATTTCTAGTAGAAATTTGCATTAAGCAAGTTATTCCTTGATATGTACGATAGCTGTGTGCCTATTTTTAAATGAAAATATTAATATTGAGTACTAAAGATTATGGTGAAAAAATTATCTTACCTCCAAATCAATAGCTAATTCACGAGCACTTCGAAGATCTGAAATCATCAAATCAAATTGTTCCATGTTGTATACTTCAAAAAATTTTGTATCTTCAAAGGAAGCAGGTTCCGTGGCTGGTACAACTTTTAAATGTTCTTCTGGAATTTTTAACTGGTCTAATTCATATTGATACGGATTTTTATAACTAAACCATAATTTATTCTATTTTAGTAAGTGTTTTTAAAAACAAATTAAATAAATATTATCTTAATTCTCGAAATTTAGTGATAATTATGGTCCAGAATTACATTCTCTTAAAATGTCTAAAATATGATGCCAATATTCTCAAAAATAATCAATGTACACCAATATATGCTTTATAATACTTGTGTAGTTTTTTAAATTTTTTAATTTATCAAAATGATAAAAAACTACATTTATTTATAATAGTTGTTAAATGATTTGAAAAGTATTTTTTTTCAGGTACATCAAAAATATTTCCATCTAAATATACTAAATATTTGCTAATCCCTAAAATATGAAAAAAAAAACTTTTTCCTGTGAACTATATGTTGAGCGAATTGTCCACGTTTTTTTACTCATATAAGACTGCATATACTCAAGTCACAATATGTAAAACCATAAAAATATGTACTCTAATAATAATATATACACTTAAATTGAAAGTATTAACTTACAACATTACTCCATCTTCATTTGTTTCTAAACACAAATCTAATGGAATTTTACTATTTGGTTTATATTTTAGAAGAGGTTTAAATGGAACAGGTCTATTGTCAACTTTGGTCTTGAATTTTAATTGTGGTCTTTCAATATTACGTGAATGTATTAATATTATTTTTTTATTGGCCTCTTGTGGCGTTTCTTTAGAATCTGATATAATGGTTTTGTTTGTGATGGATAAGTTATCATTTTTGAAATTACCATTGAGTGTGTCAATATTGTGATTCTAAAAAATACAAATGTTTAATAATTAATGGTATAACTAAAGAATAAAAAATGTATTCACTGTACCACTCGGTCTAATATTGTGTCATTTCCTTCTTCGATAAGTTCGAATTGACGATCAGCATCTCTATTTCTAATATTATCATGAATTTTTTGATTTTTCAACACTGCAGATATTCTTTAAAAAAAAAAAAAATTATTATAATTTATTATCAATATTAAACAGTAAAGGCCATTTAAAACATACAATTTAAGAATATGATTTTGACGTTGTGATACAACATTCTGAAATTTAGGATAACTGCTATAAAAATTCCAATCTACTCCAGTAGGCAAACTATTGGAAGCCCGAGTACCTTCAGTAATAATTTTAAAATCATTCTGCGAACATAATAAATGAATACATTAATAAATCTAAATCTATAAAATCTATAAAAGAATTTATAAATTCTTCAGACATACATAAATATATATCGATTAAACAAGATAGTTACATTGTACATTATATAATAAACATTTTTAATACATTAGGTAAATGTTTAAAAACTAATTAAATATACTATCTACCTAAGTATTAAATAGGAATTTAATTTTAATGAAAGACATTGTATAGTTAAAACTAATAAATTATATGTACTTTTTTCTACTTGCAAGTTAAATGTGAAACCTCAACTATGGAGCGATGCTGAGTTGTTTATCCATGTATCAAAAACTTGGTAAAATTTTTATTTACATATTATGTTTCATGTATCTATTATACATATTTCTAATAACGAGGGACAGTCGGTGATTGTCAAAAACCAAAAGCTAATGGATATGGTCAGTTCAAAATCAAGCAATACAAGTTCAAGTCTGCAACACTTTGTTATTTATACCCCTCCAAGAGTTCTTCACTGCCATTGACGGAACAATTTTAATTTATTAACCCGAGCTCATTTTCAATTTTTTTTTTTTCTCAAAATGTGTGTTTTTGCCTATACATTAAGAATCTAAAAAAAAAAAAGTTGGACGAACTTCATTAGGAAGTCACGGGGGAAAACTTCATGAAATTTTCCTATTCACATATTTCTTAATGAGAATTTAACATTTTTAAATTTTTATTTTCCCTCCCCCCAAAATGTGTGATTTTTAATCATGCTTAATCCATTAGTATAATAAAAACTTACCTATTATATTTACTTTTATAGTTATTGTACATAACCCTTTAAAAATATCATTTTTTTAATTAATCCAACATGTGGTCGAAAATAGACACTATTTTATTATTATTATAATTTGCAGTCATTGATATTTTGATAACAAAGTTTTTTTTATTGAAGTCAGAATAGGTAAATAAATCTTAGATTTACAGTTACAAACGTTCAAACACACTGTTTCGCTGCGCTCACTCGGTCAATTTTAATTAAAAACAACCCTAGATTTGTTATTCAAAATTACGTCGGGTAAGTAACAGTTTAATGTGAGAAATCATTATAGGCGGAACTAGAGATTTGGCGGGGTCGGCAGAATTAAAGATCGCACATTTTGGAAAAAAAAAAAATTTGAAAATTTTAAATTCTCACCAAAAAATACGCAAAACAAAAAACTCGAACTTTATGAAGTTTTCCCTTAAAACTTCCAAACGAAATTCGTAGGATTTTTATTTTATTATTCTTAATGTACAGGCAAAAACACACATTTAGAAAAAAAAAAAATTGAAAAACGAGTTTGGATCGTAAACTAGATTTATACCCCACTGACTGTTTATTAGAATACAATATGGAATACTTTGGTCAATATGAAACTTTGTAATAACTATCTAAGTAAGCATGCATTTTTAGTTTTCATTCACGTTAATACGAATTTCTAGTGTATCAATTCAGAGTTTACAACTTGCATTAGTATTGATTTTTAAAACAAAAATCAAAAATTCATCAATACTAATCAACACGTGTTATTTTAATATCAAAAATACTACTTAATAATTCGTATTTACTCACCATAGTACATTAATTTCCGATTTTCAAATTGCATAAATTTATTTTAAACGCTAGTCAAATAATTATAATGTTTACGTTATATTAATATCATTGAGTACAAGTAAAAAAAAAAAAATAATAAACACAATAATATAAAGAAAATTAAAACGTAAAATCCTTATCAATAAAATAGGTTACCGATGAATTAATATCAAGTTACCGAACCAGTCGCGTACCAGTGTGACTGGATATGCGGAGATAATAAGGAAATGTACGGTAACACGGTAATAATATTATTGTACAGTGTGTGTGTTTACTTTTCGGATTCAATTTTCGGACGCGGCGAGTAAATATTAAACCGACTGTCAGAAGAACATATCCCCATTAGTTATTACGTAATTCACACCGATAACCCGCATCACCGATCTGACTCGACCACAACGCGCCATGACAATTTTTTTTTATACTCTCCGCGTATTTTTTTTCTTATAAAATCATTCAATCGTTTCCCCGTCTCCATGTGACCGAAATAATCCGCGACGATTGTTCACTTGCCACGGAGTCCGAGGGTTTTGGTCTGGGAATTCCGTTTTCGTGCGAGAAAAATGTCGTTGCGACGTTACACTCTGAAGGGTTTCGATTTCGCGACGCGTACAGCGCTTTGACGTTCGCTTGACATTCTAAGTTCGCGGCAGTTGTATCAGACGCGATCGGTTTTGTCACCGCGGAGGTGTTACACAATTATTTACAATTCGCTGGACGTTTTCATCAACGGACGGTTCATTCGCGACGCGCGCGCCGGTTATAAAGTTATCTAAAAAAAATTTATTACGGCCTAGCCGTTATTTGTTTTTGTTTTGGTATTTTTTCTTTTTTTTTTTTTTTTTTTTTTGTCGCGTTCACCGGTACTCCACGGTACACCATACCGACACACACGGCGCACGGTTTCGTTCGAGGCGTTGACGCAGTGACGTCATTTTATTTCGTTTCGTACGCACCGTATTGGCCGTCCGTGTTTCCGCGGCTCTCCCGCTCGTTAGCAGTTCGTAACCGCCTAACCCCTTTCGCGCCCGTTGTCCGACGACGACGCTGCCCCGATCGTTTTTATCATCAAAACCGATTAGACTGCGGTGCGGTTCACTCCATTCCGTACCAGCGCTCACGACTCGAACGATTGTTGTTCGTCGTCGCCGTCGTCGTCCACCGTCCGTCCCGAAACTCCGCCGGGCCCGTTTCCGTGCCGCACGGTTTTCACGGTCATACCGAATAAATACGATGTCGATGGCGTCGGCCGTGAACAGACTGGGTCTCCGAGGCGTCGCCGCCGCCCGTTGCCCGGCCCAAATCTGGAATTCCATAGCCGCCCGTCGGAGCGGACCGAGCAATACGTATTTCACGTACACGCCGCAGGTCTCCCAGGTCTTGGACCGCGAGCCGAAGTGGGTGAACGCCGACGAGGCCGTCCAATGCATTAAATCCGGTGGGTAATTCATATTTCGTACGATTAGCCGGTTGTTGACGCTTGTATTTATAGAACCGAAGGTCGTCCCGTATTCAGAACAAATACTTTTGGCCCGGGACCAAATAGAATAAATCAATTAAACCTATTTACACAAGCGTAAATAACCCAAATATTCGGACGGGGGGGGGCTGGTGTTAATTACAATGTGTATTTAGTATTTACTTGATAAAAATCCGATTTTGGGGAGACCCAGATTTTCAATTTTACGGGGGGGAGGGTCTAAGCACCCTACCTACCAATATACCTACGTAATACTTACTTGTTGTAGTGGTTGGTTTACTCACCTTAAACGACATAATATATTACGGTACTAGGCCAAATCGTATTTAGAATAGTTTTTTTTTCTTAGGACGGATGGGCCGAGACGGGACTAACATTACCGAGTTCAACGATTAGGTATCGAAAATTAGAACCTTCTCCAAGATATATCTATTCAGCTTAATTTCCTCACTACAGCAAACTGTTATTTAATCATTTTTCTGAATATTAAGGGTCCATCAGTTTCCTCCATAAATGTATGTGATTACATCGGTTTAATCATTGGATTCTCCCCCCCCCCTCGTCCCCAATTTGATATTTGTAGCTAGGTATGCGTTTGCCCAAATAATATACATGCATATTGTTTATTGTAACAAGCGTCCTTCGAAAAAAACTAATTCTATTAAAATTGATTAACATGGTAAACAATCTCTTACAATAAATATTCACCAGCCTTAATCAATCATTTGATAATAATTAGGTAGGTGGGTAGTATAGTTTTTCATATATTACTGTGTTAAAAGATTTCTTGTATATGTTAGTAGTTAAGTACCGGAAAAAAAAAAAAAGTGCCTAGTTAACTATTGCTATTGTATTAATTAACAAATGTATCAGTTTTTCATTTGATCTTTGAACTCTTTAAATATACCTATCTAGCACCTAGGTGCATTAATTTTAATTAAACAATAATGTAAATTTAACAAAGCATTGTTGCGGCTATTAGTTTAAATGAATTTTTTTTTTTTTACAGTTAACTGTTACGATAATAGTTTAAAGAAAAAAATACCACGAATACCGCATTTCCTATGTAGATATTATAAAATTTATATTTGGCACCATGTTTATATATTTTTTTTTTTTTCTTATTTATTATGTGGGTATGTTACGTCGTCTTTGTATTGACCCCTTGATAGTGTTTGTATAGAAGAAAAAAGTATTGAATGGAGACTTTTAGTTTTTTTTTTTTTTTGTATCAAGAATACTGGTTATTTAACAGCGATTACAAACTCCTCAAATCTAATCAATTTAGCTACAATATATATGTCATTTAGTCACTGAAATTAATTTGTCTCGTAACAATTTAGATTGTCTATGAAAGTTATTAAGGTTAAAGTAATAAAATCAAATGATGAAAATGTTATTAAATTATTAAAATTATATGATAGATATTTGTACTACATTTTTATTCAACATTATATTTTTATATTTAATAATTGTGTTGGAAGAGAGAATTTTATTTGTTTCATACAATTTAATAATTAAATATTGGTAGATTAAAATTAAGTAGTTGGGAAATATCTATTTCATAAATATATATGTAATGTAGATATAATTAAAAGATTAAAATTAGTTCACAGTTCTAGTTTAACTGTTTAAATCTTACGTTTGCACATTTCATTATAATTAGCTGGCTGTTGAGAAATTATTTATAATGATGTTCGGAATAAGAAACCCCCCTCCCCCTTTTTTTTTCTCAATTAATTTTTGATATTTGTTCATTCAACCGATTCAAGTAACATTGTAAGAAAGCTACCTTTAGACATTTAGGTACTCATATATAATATGTATTACATATTACAGTTTAGTGATTAACATTAAATGCTAAAAATGTTTAAAATATATCATATAAACAAATACCATAATATATTTCCTCAAATTTCATAAATTAATCTATGATAATAATGCATAGAGTACAATTAATGATATCTACTCCTTATATTAAGTGTTTGAAGCACGTTCTTAAAAGATCCATAGTTTGTCTTAGAAGTACTAAGTTTCCTCTAAAGCCATGATTTTAAGTCTAAAATATTTCATTGTTCACTGAAATCAGTTAGCCACAACAAAAGTGTATCAAAATTTAAAATAATAATGATTTTTACTTTTTTCTTATTACTAGATCTTATAGATAACAAGTTTTTTTAAAAAAATGACAGTAAATTTATTGATTGAACATGTGTTTTTATCAATAATATCATACCAAAGCTTGGAAGATTAGTTACAGATTTTTTCTCCATGTTTTATCCTCAAGGGAGATTCATTTATAAGTTTATTACAAAGGTGGTTTGATAAGTCTTTATGAACATTTTTACTGAATTACAACAAAAGAAAAAAAAAATTAAATTAATAAAGTGTTATTTTCATAGATTTTCCTATTATTCCTGTTTTTCCCAATTATTATGAAAACCAATTGGAAAATAAATGACCGTGCTAAGGTTCAGAAAAAGTACTATACTTGAGTTTATGGAGCAAGATTTCTGATAGAAAAAGATAACATTGATAAAAAAAAAGAAGAAAAAAAAATAAACATTGTAAAACCAATATATTCATTGCTACGCTCCGAATCTGAAAATATCATACCTTTATTTATAATGAAAAATATTTGTTTAAATTTTGATTTTAAATACGAAATTTATTCAAAATACAAATATACAAAACAGTACTATTTCAATACATACAATTTAAAAAAAAAAAAAAATGTAATTTCTGTTCAAATTTGGTTGGTCACTACAGAGTATTTTTATTTTAAAACTTTACTGGTGCTGTTACCTATTAAATTAAATAAAACAATATACTAAATTAAAGTCAATTTAAAAAAAAAAATGCTTGGTTGTTTAATTTCAAAAATATATTAAATAAATTATTTTGTTTACAGGCGATACAGTTTTTGTGAGTGGTGCTGCAACTACACCTGTCGAAGTTATCAGTAGTATGACTGAACATGGAAAACAAAAAAAATTAAAAAATATACGAGTGTGTAGTATTCATACTGAATTTGATTCACCTTACTGTGCTCCAGAATGTGAAGGTATATAATTTGATGTTCATTTTATAAATTTATACACTTGTGTGAATAATTTTCATAAAGGTATTAATTAATTTTATTTTTTCCAGGAATTTTTAGACCGATGGCCTTTTTTATTAGTGCTAATATGAGAAAGTGCATGAATGAAGGACGCGGTGACGCTGTACCAATATTTTTACATGATATACCCTTGTTATTTGAACGAAAGATAGTACCAGTAGATGTATCATTGATCACGGTAAGGCATTAGACAACATTTTCAGTTTAAAGCCATAAGTATAATCACATACTAGTTATAAGATTAATTACATATATAATTAATAATTAATGTTAAATTTTCAAATCATTATTTAAAATACTTATACATAAACATTTAAATTTGTATATTAAATTAAGTATTCTTGAATTCAAATTTTACAATTCAGGTTATTTGCACAGGTTAATCCAATGAAAAATATTTTTATTTGCATGTTTGTATTAATTTAATTCATTATTTTAAGGTATGCATATTTATAGCATTAAAAGTAATTAGTATAACAAACGCTTGTTCTATAGTAAATGCCTATTATGTATTATTATTTATGAAAACGAAATTAATTTACTTTCATACAAATATTTTATTTATTTGTATGTTGTGCAATGGAGACCAAAGTCCCAACCAGTGTAAGTATGGTTATAAACTAAAGTTTATAATAATGATTAATAATTATTATTATTTACTATAATATGTTCTACATATTAAACAGTTATCAAATGGTAATTTATATTATCGAATTACGTTTATTATTGGAATATGTTATAAATTATGAGAACTATATTTGATTTATTTTTCACTCAATTTTAGTAAGATTTCTATTTTTATTTTTTATTATCATTATTTTATATTCTCAATGATAAAAATCATTTTATCTATAAAATAAATTGTGAGATTATGTATTTAATGAGAAATTCAAAATACAATTGTTAATTAGAGAGGGTCTAAGAATTAACAAACTATTTGAAACATGTCAAATCAAATAAATAAATGTTTTTCATTTTAAAGTATTCATTTAAATATACATATACATAATACAAAACATATTAATAATCGTTACTTTTGATTTAAAATAATAATAATATTATGTGTGAGTACCATTACAGTATTTCCTAACTTTTTTGTTATGGCGACATATTTATTCCTTTTTTGGTATGCGACTCACATTAAAAATATAATATATAAAATCAAGTATGCCATAATGCCCTATTACATAATAATTAATAATGTTGATAATAAAATTAATATCCAATTTTATCATTTAATGTTAATATAATGAAATATTTAATATCTAATAGCTAAGTATGTTAAATATAAAGATTAATTTTGGTACATTTCAAAATAAAAATAATGTAATATAATGATAAAATAATTTCAATGAGATTTAGTATGATGACAGATTCTGAATATTGTGTTACATAATATTTTCTACTGGGATACAATTTTAGATGAGCTGATGCACATATCATGTACATCAGCTTATATATTTCTTTGTTTTGTTTTAATATTGGCCATAGTTGAAAATCCTTTTTCACATAAATAAGTAGTAGGAAAAATTTAAAAGTTTTTTATATTGTATTGAATGACATTTCTGAATATTTATTATCCACACCGAAAATCAATAATAGTTTCATTTTTAAATTTATTTTCATAAGTTGTATCATAAAAAAGTTTCTATAATCTAAGTTACAAGAAGCTTATTGAAATTAAACAATTCAATTGAAACAATGAAAGAATTTTCAGTCCATTGAAAGTTATCATGAATATTTTTTGGGAAATAAATATATTTTATTTTTCTTATTTTCTTATTATTCTTACTAAAAAAAATTTTTATTACATTATAATTACAATATTTTTCTTTTATCACAACCCATAGTTGGGAAACACTGTACTATAAGATACTATTTTATTTTTATTTTTTTGAGACCTGTT